GGGCTTGGAGAGGTAAGTGTGCAGGAGCGAGGTACCCCTACGGGTTCTGTCCCCCCATGTCTCTGCCCCGTCCACACTGGGTGAGCAGGGCTCCCCACACACTTGTCTAGTGAGCCCCCATCTCAGGGCCAAGCTCATGGGCTCCCTCTGGAGGCAGCTCCACTGGGCGGCTTTGGGTTCTGGGTCAGGGTCTAGAGTCCCCCTTGTGCTCAGCACTCCTAGGCCTTACAAGAGCCATGTGCACACATGCACACTCACACACGCACACACACCCCATCTGTGTCTGTCTCCTGACTCTGTGCTGAGACAAACTGCCTGGAAATGCCCGGTCTCTCCAAGGAGAACGTGCCCAGTTCCTGGGCATAGGGGAAACCACAATGAACTTGGAACTCAGCCCCCTAAGCAGGGGCAGTGTGGCTGTGACCAGGCCTCAGAGCAGTGGCACTGCGCCCAGGTACCCACCCTGCAGTGTCTAGGCCACCTCCCAAGGGCCACCTGGAAACAGAGACTCCAACTCTGGTCCCAAGTAGCCTGGGGTCAGGGGAATCCACGTCTGGGGCTGCAGGCGCACTCACCTCTCAACCTCAGGTCTGCCCTAGGTCTGGGGCAAGGCACAGACCTGGCCTGGATCACCTCCCCTGCTGCCAAGCACTTACTGGTGGGCAGCCACAAAGAATCCTTGACCTGGAGGTGCTCCATCCCCTGTCTCCAGCTCAGCCCTGCGAGGCCTCATTGCGTCTGACTAGCAGGAGCCAGGACTGCTGGCCCAGCAGACTCATGGGCTGGCCGAGCAGGAGGCTGGGGGCAGGCAGGCCACTGTGACGCCGCAGCTGTTGACAGCAGCAGGACTGCCGTGTCTCTCTGCCTTCACACGGCCCTCCTCAGGAGGCGGAGAAGTCCTCCAGGAGGACACTGAGCTGTGCTTCAAGGACCCCAGAGCCAGGCTTGCTGCCTTTGGATTGAAAGCTGAACATTGGAGGCTGGATGACCCTGTCTTTCAAATGGGCTCCCGGCTGCGCGCTCCCTCTGGGCACCCACCCTCGGCTGTCAGACCGAAGCTCCTCACCCGCTCCCTTCAGCAGGCAGCTGTGGCAGAAAGTGGCCTCCAGGTGCCCAGGCTGGCACTGGGAGAGCCCAGAGCAGAGCAGAGGAGCTGGTTCAAACCAGCCCCGCACAGGATGTGCAGCTTGGGGCCGACCCTGGCGTCATGAGCGGGTGGCCCTCTTGCAGCTCCATTTCATGCTCTGTTGTTAAATTCTTAACCAGTTTTTAACAAGAAGCCCAGATGCTCACTTTGCCCAGGGCCCTGCACAAGATGCAGCTGGTCCTGTTGGGGCAAATTCCTTGGCCATTCTGTGTCCCCTTGCTCACCTGTAGGTGGGCCCTGTCCCTCCTCCCAGAAAGGAGGCATGGGCGCTCGGTGGCCACCCCAGCCCAGAACCCTGGCTCTGCGGCCACCACCTCCGGCCCCTCAGTGGCATTCCTGTCCACAGCCGTCAGCCCACTGGGGCCATGGGGGAAGGAGCACAGCCCGAAAGCCCGCCTGCCCGCCGCCCTGCATACCTCCCTCTGTGCAGAGAGCCCAGGGGCCCGGGCGCGTGGCAGGTCGGGGATTGTCCACCAGCCCCCAGCCCGGAAGGACCCTTGGAAGCAGGCACTGGGCTGTGAGCACCGGGAGCTGCAGCCGTCCTGGGCCGTCGAGGGCCGGCTCAGCTGCCGCCCCCGGGAGCAGGAGGCATCGCATTAATATTTGAAGGCCCAGGTGTCAGGTGGCTCAGCGGGCCTGGGCTCGGTGTGGGATCCCCTACCACGGTGCCTTAACCCTCCACAGACCCTCCAGAGAGGTGGGGGCAGGCCTGAGACCCCTGGTCACACAAGAAGAACCAATTCAGAGGAATCCCCCACTGCCGTCCCAGGCACAGATGGGGAAACTGAGACTCGGAGAGGGCAAGGGGCTTTCTCAAGGTCCCACAGCTGGGATGGGGCAGAGCTGGGATCAGAATCTTGAGACCCTACTCCTTGCTCCTGCCAGGACTGAGAGCCCCTCGAATCACCATTCCTTTGGTCCGGGGGCACCAGCCGTGGAGGAAGAGGCAGGTGGATGGGCCTCTGGGGGACGCCCGGCATTGGCTGGGTCTCCGGCACCCTTCCCAAGGATGCAAAGCCCTGGCTGCCCCTCACCAAGCTGTTTCTCAGGGCTGCCTTTGCACAGGGGGCTCCGGCAGGAAGAGCAGGCTGCTTGCCCCACGCCACAAAGCAGGGAGGGGACCCCCAGGCTTGGCGGTCCCCAACTGTGACACAAGCCTGTGTGCACAGCAGTGATCTGGGCCTGTGTCGGTCACCTTGGGGCTCAGGGGGCAAAGGGACCCAACAAAACATGATGCTTGCTCCCTGCCATGTGTCTCGGACCCGGGAACCTCCTCTCTGCTTCCAGTGTCCACAACACAGGCATGAGCTGGCTTAGGAGCTGCTAGCAGGGTCGAGTCAGACCCTAGACCCCATGGTTAGAGAAGCAGGCGCTGACAGTCTGATGGACACAGTGGGGCTGAGCCCCAGGTGGCCCCAGCCGATGCCCACCAAGACAGAGCTCTGAGCCCGACAGTGCCTCCTCTGTGCCCTGCCCCTGCCTGGGAGCCCTCAGCCCTTCCCCTCAACCGAATCTGCTCTCAAGCGACAGGAGTATCCACGTCCCCATGTCCCTCATTCGGGCCCTGGACACTCACTGAATCCACAAGGACCTGAAGGAGTGACAGATGTTGGGTCCCGACCTTTGGGGTCCTGACAGCTGGGCATGTGCTGCCCCCAAATGGGGCTGCTGCCCCAAGGTTGGCGGTCAGCTGGCCCTGGGCTGGGGCCCTTCCCACGGCCTGGTGTCTCTTTTCCTGTGTTTTTGATGAGATTTGAGCAGCGCCATGCCTGCCATGCATTATACATCGAGGACAGCTGTGGCCGAGCCGGGTTACAGCCTGTAATGCCACCCAGGCCGAGAAAATCATGACCCACAGATGGGTGCCGGACACCAGTCACCACAGCTGAGATTCAGTTACTGGCTGCACGGCCTGGGGGAGGAGGCTTCCCAAGGGCGTCCCTTGCCCTCTCTGGGCCTCAGTTTCCCCATCTGTCAAAGGAAGGGGACCTAGAGCCCTCCTGGACCTCGCTGAGGGAAACTGGCACCTGCTCGGTGCTCAAGGCGCATCTGTATTCTCCAACTAGGCTCTTCAATCCCATTATGCAGATGAAAAAATTGAGGGTTGGAGGTGCTCAGAACTTGGGGGTGCCACCCAGCCAGGAAGAGTCACTGGGGCAGGGTGGGGGCAGGCTGAGGGGGCTGGGCTCACCATCCTGGGCCGGTTCTCCTACCTGCTGCTGCCCCTCCAGGATCTCATTCAAACCAGCCCCATAGCCAGGAGCCCAGCTGCCTGGCCCACTCACTTGGCCAAGGTCGAGGCAGGGTGGTCGAGGCAGGACCTGGCCTTCCCAAGCCGCATCAGACCCCGCACTGGGCAGCAGATGAATCAAGGCCCTGCGGACACGCCTAGGAAGGGGGCACCTCCCACAGGGCCGGCCTCCCACTGCGCAACCAGCCTCGTCCCCCAGGCTGCCTCTCTTAGGACCACGACTCCGTGGGGGCGAAGGCAGGCAGCCGTGTCGAGAGGGAAATGCCGGCTTTCACCGCCTCCTCCGAGCCCGACATGGAAGAGGCCCGGCCGGTGACTTCTGTGTATTGTGTTTCCATCAATATTGCATCGGGCGCACAGCCTCCCCCAGCCTGGCGGCCCACAGCTGACAGCCTGCCCTCCCGCGGGGCTGGGACAGTGAATGTGAGGCAGGTGGAGGGGGGACAACTCCAGCCCACCTCAGGTGCAGTGGATCACAAGGAGGTGGACACCTTCCACCACCAACGCCACAGGCTGGACACCGCTGGCCCACAGGTCAGGTGGGGAGGCTACACAGGCAGCCTGGCTGGTTTGGGAAATCCTGAGTGAAGGGGACAATGCCTCATAGCCCATGTGACATCAAGGAAACAGCCAGACCAGAAGGAACTTCAGGAAGCCTGACATGGGCTGGCCCCCACAACCCCGGGGGTGTCAGGAGAGTGCCCAGAATCTCCATCCCCCTAAGAGAGCTGGGCTGAGTGGCCAGGAGGGGCTGGCAGAGGTGCCAGGGCCTGGGGATGGAGGGCTGGGGACAGAGACCTTGCTTGGACAGAAGTCCCAGCTGTTGCCACCGAAGCATGGGCTGGGGACAGGTAGGGGACCCCAGCCAGAGGCCTGACAGCAGAGCAGTTGCCCATCCCACCTCCTAACCTCAGGGCCCACATGGAGGCCAGGGCTTCCCCAGCCTGTGCGGCAAAGCTCTGCCCGCTACACCAGGAACCGGCTGAGTTCTACCAGCTTCTCCAACCCAAGCCAGAAAGGCAACCCTTTATCAAACAATTACCCATCGAAGGGTTAGTAAATAATTAGTAAATGGATTACCTCAAGCCAGTAACAGTAGTTTCTTTTTCCGAAACTAGAAACCAGGACAAACCAGGGCTCCAACACATGTGCCCCAAAGCACCCGAGGCCCCCGACCCGCAGCTGCCCTGATGTGGGTTTTGGGCGGTGAAGACAAGAGGCTCTTGGCGGGGGCTGGGTGAGGACTGCGGCTCTGCCTCAGTGGGTCCTGGACGCTCCAGGGACACCCTGAGAGAAGAGGAGGTGCAGCAGCCCAGGGTGAGACCCATGTGGGGGGCACGTTACCCCTCTGGCCTCAGTGCTCTCACCTGAAAATGGGGCCAGGCGATCCCAGGGACACCTTCCGAAGGGGCGGCCACTACAGAGAACTGCGGCAAAATCTGTGCGGGTTGGGATGAATTGTCAGGGCAGCGGGGAGGTGGAGGGCAGGCAGGAGGGGACTGGGGGGGAGCCTGGCCCCACACTGACTGGCCTCCCCACCACACACCCGGCCATCCACCCCACCAGTCCACTTGCTCAACCGGCTGTCCACTGCTCCATTCATTCAACAAACACGTGTAACCCGTCACGTGCTGGGGACTGAGGCACAGGAGATCCCCGACCTTGTGGATGCGACGCCGGATGAGGTCGCACACCCAGAGAGGGGAGCCGGATGAAACTTCTGCCTCGTGGGCTGCACAGGGCTGGCCTGCCTCATCGGGCACCTCCCCAGGACCCAGAGCCCTGCTCCCACCCCCGGTGTCCTTAACCTGACAGAATCACCCAACAGGAGCTCTGGCCATGGTGTAGCCTGGGTCATGAGCGTAGTTTCTGTGGGCCAGTGGAGTACAGGCCTCTGCCAAGGTCCAGCCACAGCCCAGCCCTGTCACAGCCCTAATCTGAGCACCCAGCCAGCTGACTTGTGGTTTCAGCTCAGCCCCAGCTTGGCCCTTTCTCCTGACAGACGACACCGTGTCATCTAGCTACCTGGCCATCAACACAGCAGGGGTCTGTCACCTGCCCTCCTAGGAGGGATGGGGCCCAAGGCTTACCGGCGGGGCACTGTCACGCAGGTACTGGGCGCAGTCACGGTGGCCGTGGTACTCCGCCAGGTCTGCGGCCGCATAGCCATCCTCATCCCGCAGGGCGGGGTCCACGCGGTGGGAGAGCAGGGTCTGGCAGCACTGCAGGGGGGCGGTGAGCATGTGAACTCGGTGCCGCCAGCTCCCTGCTCCCAGGCCCACCCCCCAGCTGGGACACCCAGGCTGTGCAGCCATCTAGTGCAGGGTGCTGAGCTCCCGCCCCAACCCACGACCGTCCTGTCCTGGCAGCACCAGCTCCAGGTCCTGCAGGTGTCACTGCCCCCTTGTCCCAGATGGGGCACCGGGGTTCCACACTCAGGAACTCGCCAAGGGCCCAGCCAGTGCGTCAGCAGCACAGCCGGACCCCAGCCAGGCAGCCTGACCCTGACCTAGCACTGGTAGCCCCTGCCTTGGCCTACAAATACGTAACCTCAGAGATCTGTGTCACTTTTACCCCAAGAAACTGGGGTGCAGGAGGCTAAACAGCCTGGCTCCACCCCCAGGACTCCAGCCTGTGCCCTCACTCACCTCACCCACCTTGCCCCGCCTGCTTCCTGGCCTCCCAGTCAGACCGGGAACTCAACCAGACCCTCCTCTTGGCCTCACCTTGGCCTTTGTGAGCTCCTGGGGTTCCCACCCTCATCCTCTATGTCCCCATCTCTGAACACCCAGCTCTGCCAGCCACACACGTACTCCTCCCCTGGTCAAGCTAGGGCCTGGGCCCCCTATTTCCCTTCTGAGCAGTCCTCTGGGTTTGTGTGATGGGACGTGGGAGGAGAGGAAGGCCTGGAGGCTCAGAAGCAGGGAGGAGAGAGAGGATGGAGGGGTGGAAAGCTAGAGGAAATTTGGGTTTGTGAAGGAGGCTGCAATGGAGCGAGAGGAGGTTACGGGGGCTTCAGGAGCAGGCTGAGTCCAGAGCACGGGTGGGGCGGGGGGCGTCGCAGCAAAAGCAGAGTGGAGGAAAGGGGACAGGACAGGAGTGTCGGTCATGGCCCCAGATGGTGTCAGAACAGCAGCCGGGGAAGGTGGGGGGAGGGGAGAACTTTCCTGCAGGATGACTGAGGTTCCTGGTGGCGTTTGTGAGCAGAGGGTGGGTGGTTACAGATGACCAAGATATAAGTCCGGAAATCCGTGAGGTGGCCGCACCAGCAGCAAAAGCAGGCGGGCAGATGGATCTGCACCAACGAGTAGAGAAGCAGGCAGCTCACACCAATCCACTCCCCAGAGTCAGCGTGGAAAAAAGGCACCTTCCTAGGGCGTCAGCTAGACAACAAGGAAGCAAGGAATTACCAGGCCAAGCTCAGGAGACAGGAAAGTCTGGAGGGATAAGCCCATCTCTCAGTGCGGCTTTTGCCCTAAGAGCACGCTGATGCAGAAGGCATGCTTGTAGCCTGAGCAGCTCTTTCACAGCCCCATGGGACTGGGGATGCCAGCAAGAGTGCAGGGTCCCCCGCAGGCTGGGGGATCCATCCCCAGAGAAGAGATAAAGCAAGAGCCAGCCAGCCCTCTGCTTCCTGTCACGCAGGTGCTCCAGGGACCTCAAGCCTGGATTGTGGACCAAGATGACGCTGGGCATGCAGCTCCCACCTGCGCCCTATGGGAAGACGCAGATAAGATGTCAGCCAACACCTCAAATGACTCCCAGGGACCATTTTCCAAATATAATGTGCAGCACACAGACAAAACCAGGAGCACAAGGGAAGGAGCTACCAGAAGTGAGAACCAGAGCACCCAACGCCCACCAAGAAACAGACTGCCAAAGACCCGGGAAGTAACAGACTGAAGCCGCCGTGCTCACTGCTTCCAAAGACGTCAAATCCAAGCTTGAAAATCTAGGCATGGGACAGAAAACTACAGAGAGCAACACAGGAGGGTAGAAGGTGTACTTGGTGTGCACGAGGTCCTGGGTTCAATCCCCAGGGCCACTGTTAAGGGGAAAAAAGGAAAATCCTTTCCAAAAAAA